CCAGCTGGCCAGCTCGGCAGCTCGATCTCTCACAAAGGATCACCGTCACCGCACCGGTCCCTGCCTCCCAAGTCCCAACTCGATCGCAGTCACACAGCCTCTCACTCAGTAATTGAAGAAATAATACTTAGTAGTTAGTTGTTACTAGTTAGATTTGCTGTCTGGCTGTCTCTGCCTCCCAACTCGACTAGGCTTAGGCTAGTGGATTTTTTGGCTGTCTGCTGTTATTATATGCTATATGTATGAGTGCATTTGTTGCCAATAGATTTAAGTATTTAACTGCAATGATTAGCTAATAATCTTGTCATGCTAAGTTGCAATTTCTCTGATATGTATGCGGACTACTCTGGCAATTTCTCTAATATGCTAATCTTGTCATTTGGTATACTGATATGTATGCGGACTACTCTGGCAATTGGCAAAGGATTTGATCAGCTTTTAGATGTTATTAACAAGATAAAGCATAATCCTGATGTTATATATAACTATTAGTCTGTTATTGAAACAATTTGTGTGCACACCGCATTTGCAATATATAAGACTGACATGCATGTGCACATTGTTAGTCTGTTATTATTTTTATTTCTCCTATTATTATTGTTGTTAAATTTGATTTGGATTGAGAAGGAAATTGAAGAATGGCACAAAGTCAACAAGACAATATCAAAGCTAAGACTGTTGTAGAGGAAAGTGTGGAAGGTCCAACTGAAAACCCAAGTACTGTTGTTCAACATGCTAAAAATAATAATGAGAGACAAGATGCTGAAGAAGTAGCACCACCAACGAAGAGGAAAAGGCGGCTAACATCTGATATTTGGAATCATTTTACAAGATTGCCATTAACCCAAACCAAAGGGAAACATAGGGCGAAGTGTAATTATTGTGGCATAGATTATGCAAGTCATCCAACTAAAACTGGGACAAAACAGTTGTGGCGGCATTTTGAAAAGTGTCCCAAGAACCCAAACAAAGCAAGCAAGTCACAAACCATGTTGACTGCTATGTCTTCTCAATCATCTCAATCGTATCGCTTGTTCAACCAAGAAAGATGTAGAAAGGCTCTTGCAAGGTTCATCATAAAGGATGAATTGCCTTTTCGAGTTTTGGAAGGAGAGGGTCTAAAAGAACTTTTGCAAGAGTTTGAACCTAGGTTTCAGATACCTTCACGATGGACAATTGCCAGGGATTGCTACCAATTGTATTTGGAGGAAGCAAAACGTTTGAAAAGATATTTCAAGCGATCTAAATGCCGTGTGTCCCTTACCACTGATTGTTGGACTTCAATACAAAACTCCAACTATATGTGTTTGACTGCACATTGGATTGATGAGAATTGGACTTTACAAAAAAGGATTTTAAATTTCTGTGTCATTGAAAATCACAAAGGGGATACAATTGGCAAGCAAATTGAGGATTGTTTATTCAATTGGGGCATTGAAAAAGTCTTCACAATTACAGTTGATAATGCTTCTTCTAATGACACTGCAATTGCCTATTTGAAGAAACGATTGAAGAGTTGGAATGGTCTAATATGTGATGGAGAGTTTTTACAAATGCGGTGTGCAGCTCATATTTTGAATCTGATTGTTGGTGAAGGTCTAAAGGAAATGAATAAGTCTATTGAACTTATTCGGCATGCAATTAAATTTGTTAGATCTTCTCCAGCTAGGCTACAGAGGTTCAAGGATCTTGTTGAAAAGGAAAAAATTGATTCAAAGAGTTTGCTGACTTTGGATTGCCCCACGAGGTATTATTTGCACTATAATTGTATTATTTTCATATTATGTCAAGTTTCACTTGATAATTCTTAATTGTTTATTTCTTATTTGTCATGTGATTAGGTGGAATTCAACTTATCTGATGTTAGAAAATGCTGTCAAGTTCATCAAAGTCTTTGATAGGATGGAAGAAGAAGATGAAGATTACAAGGATTACTTTAAGAAAAAGGTTAAACTGTTTTCAAACCAACAGGGTGTTGTCTTAAGTTATGATGATGAAGATGATGATGCTGATGTCATTGACACAACATTAGGAAGGGCCACAGCTGAACCACCTACTGCATATGATTGGAGTGTGGCTAAAGAGTTTCTTGTGTTTTTGAGGTTGTTCTACACTAAGACCCTCAAATTTTCTGGATCAAATTTTGTAACAACAAGCACATGCTTTCAGCATATAGTTGCAATTCAGACTCACCTTCATCGAAGTGCAGCTAGTGAGTACTCTCTCTTGAGTGACATGGCAAGGAGAATGCAGACAAAGTATGATAAGTACTGGGGAAAAGCAGAAAAAATGAATCCGTTGTTGATCATAGCAGTGATCCTTGATCCTAGATTCAAGATGACATATATCAAAATTGCTTTTGAAGACCTTTTTCCTGAACCTACAAAGCGAGAAGCCATGTTGAAAAAGACTATGGATGTCTTGTATCGATTGTATGATCACTATTTTGCTAGTGTTGCTGAGCTTGATCACGGTGAAGCATCTAAATCTCAATCAACAGCGGATCAACAGCAAGTCCATGATAGTGTTGGAACTGGGGATGATGACATTGACATGTTTTTTCATGATGATACTGATTCTACATTTCAAAAGTTCCTGGCCACTGCAGACACCGTTGTTAATGCAGAGAAAATTTCTGAAGTAGATGAATACCTTCAAGCAGATTTAGGTGGTTTTCGTGATCCAAAATTTGATGTCTTGGCATGGTGGAAAGTGAATGCTCCCAAGTATAGAGTTTTGAGTGTAATGGCACGTGACTTGTTGGCTGCAACAGTCTCTACAGTATCTTCTGAATCAGTTTTCAGTATTGGGGATCGAATACTGGATAATTTCAGGAGCTCTTTATCTGCAAAGATGGTTGAGGCACTCATATGTGCTCAAAATTGGCTATGCAGTAATACTCCAAGACTCAATGACCTTGAAATAGATAATTTTATTGAGAGTGCAAATGTCGTTACTGGTATTTTAACCTTCAACAATATTTTCAATTTATATTGTTTTATCTTGTTATTAAATATTAATGAGTTATTTTTTTTAATTTGTTTTGTTATTTGTAGAGCAAGAGTCATTGGTTCCAAGTACAGCCACTTCCTCAAGTAACTCTGAAGGAGAAGCCCATGATTATGGTGGTGATGATGATGATGAGTGATTGATGATGATTTGATGATGATTAATCCTTTACAATTTTATATTTGTGATTGTCCTCTTTTGAAGCTTGAACCCTTGAACATTAGAAATCTGTGATGGTTTCTGATTGTATGGACTATGGAGTTTAGATTTTGATTAATGGTACTATAATTTTCATCTATTTTCATTTTTGAATGCGAAGTGCGAACAGCCCCTGAACAGCCCTTGATTGTTAAACGGGTTCCCCATAACCCGTTTAAGCCCGCCCACTTAACCCAGCCCGTTTAGGGACGGGCTTAAACAGGTTATGTACGGGTACGGGCCACCCCGTACCCGTTAATGCATAAACGGGTGGGCTGCGGGTTTGGGGTCGGGCTGCCCAACCCGCCCGTTGCTCTGGCCTATTGGCAACCAAAGAAAGCCACTCCCAAACACGAGATGCCACATTAGGGACGTCCAAAACCAAAAGCTCCTTCACACATCACCTGCTCCGAATCATTATTCCGGGTCAGCCTATGCCCGATCCGTGTCCGTGCCTGTGCCCGATCTCATCTCTCTCTCTCTCTCTCTAACCTTTTCTCTCATTTGCATTACCCTATGTTTGATAGGGGGGAATTGGAGGAAAAAGGAGGAGAAGAAAAATTTCAACGAGCTTGATTTGAAAAATTAGAAAAGTAGGGTCGTAAAATTTTAATAAACAGAATATATAAGATAAAAGAGCAAGCAAAATTAACTTCAAAAATTTTAATCTCACTTTTCTAATTTTTTGAATTAAACTTATTAAGAGTTTTCATTCCCTCTCCATTCCTCTGTTTCCCTCATTCCAATAAGCTCTTAGGTCCTGTTTAGTACGAAGGATTAAAAATAAGGAATAAGAATTAAGATTGCAATTGAAAAGATCATTAAAAAAGTCTTTAGCATGAGTAATTAATTGTTACATGGAATTAAGTAAATCTATGGAAGTAGGATTGAAAAATACCACTTCCTCTCATGGTATTCTCTAATCCCACATATATGAGTTTATCTAATCCCATGTAATAAATAATATCTCATGTTAAATATTATTTTCTCGATCCCAATCCCAATCCCTGTCCCTCATTTTTAATGTTTCATACCAGATGGTACCTTAGGGTAATATCTCCTTTTGCTACTACTTAAAAAACATTATTATTCTTATATCATTTGGCACATATGTATGGTGTCTAAATTCTGATTTGTATGTATGCTGTGCTTCTGTGTAAAAAGTTGGATTTTATGCATTGCATGCGTATAAAGAATTAGTTGTATTACAATTAATGATTTGTGAAATTTGTTAGAAATTTTATACTTTTGATATTGATTATAGTTTCCACATGTTTGTAAGATTACAATGATCCTCTATAAAATGCTAACGAAGAATTATATGTATAGGGATTTTTTTATACTCCTCCGGTCCTTAATATAAGACTCATTTAACTAATTTGATTAGATTAAAGAAGTTAGATAAGTTAGTTAATTATAAGAAATGTGACATATTTTTTCTAAAATATGATAATCATCTTTCTTAATATCCCTATTTCTCTTCAACTTGATTATGGTTAAAGGAGTATCTATAGGGGTAATTTAGACAAAATTGATAAATATGAGAAATGAGTTTTATATTTAGAACCAAAACTAACTCAACAATTGGGTCCCATATTAAGGACCGAAGGAGTGTATATATTTTTAAGAAAACACACTCAAAAAATTTCTAAATACCCAGAGTTCTTGGGTAAAATTTTCTGGACAAATTTACATGTAAAACCTAGAGTTAATGGTACATAAAAATTTGACTGTAAAGATGGCTTCATATGTTTTGACCGGACCATAAATTTAAAAAAGCATAGAGGCCCAGCTACTCTGAAAAATTATAATTATAAATGAGTATATATAATAAAATTCTTATCACCACACTTAGCTTGGGTGATATTGTTAAGGAACGTAACTAACCTAACCAAGACAAATTAACCCCCCTCCAAAAACAAAGGTTAGAAACTCCTACACATGTATGCCAACCCTACGTTGATTTTGGTGATGAGGTTGCAAGACGGATTAACAGATTAAATGGTATGAACAATGAACAACAAGATCGATCTTCTGCGCTTCATATCATTTTTAAAGTAGCGAATTGAGTGTTAACTCAAATGGGTTTTCTAGCTGTAAAGTTGCAATCCCTTCCAAATGCAAGAAACTTGTATATCGTACGTACGTCGGTGAGATCATCCTTTTATGTTTCTGCAAAACAAAACAAATCTAAAACGTGGGTACTTTCTATCTCAATCATCCTTTTACCTACCTAGATATATACACTGTACGTACAATAAGCTAGAGTCTGCAATCTTAATGTGGCTCTACATATATGAATATATACAGCTAAGGATGGATATGATAAAAAGTAGTGTACGTCGTTCGGTCACTACATTACTTGTTGAGAAAAGAAAAGAAATCAACTAAGGAGAGGCTTCTCTGCATCAAACTCACTCTCTGAGCCAAAATCAAAGTTAGCGTAACCTTCTTTTCCTTTTGCCCACAGCACAAAGTAGAGCCCCGTGAACATCAGAAACATCCCCGCAATGCTGCATGCAGCATTAATATATAATTAATACACCATTATTGTTATTGATCAAAATAAAAAGAAGTAAAAAAATAATGGATGAGTTAGGGGTGTGTGTGTGTGTGTGTGTACACACACCTTCCAAGATTAGTGGAATAGCCAAGAGTAAGAGAAGAGAGGAGGGAGCAGACAGTAGCAACAGGGCTGAACATAGAGACCAAGACAGGACCTCTCTTCTTAAGAGCCCATCCATTGAAGCTTAGGCATATTCCACCCAACCCACCTGACTGCATTATTATTTCCCATTTCATTACTAACTAATAATGTGTGTGTGTGTGTGTGTTAGAAAGTAATATGTATAATGAGTGAGTGAGAAAACTAAAGGAATAAAATACCAGCAAAGAATAAGAGGCGAGGGCTCCAAAGTTGACAAAGGAGGAAGTGTCAAAAGAGCGCTGCTCGAGCAACTGAGCAATGATGGTGGTTATGGCTCCTAACAAGGATGTCAATGCACTTAATGTCATGGGTGCTGGGAAATCTCCCAATGTAAACGCCTGCATATACGTTTGCGCTCAATCATCTAATCAATCTAACCTCTAAAAACTAGGGCTAAAGTCCAATTTTGCTCTTGAAGCTTTCACATAGGAATTGTGGGTATTCAGAAATTTTCTTTGGATCGATATCATCCTAAAAGTATTAAAAAAAGAAGTAAAATCGCCGTGATCCTTTAAAAACTACTGCTTACCATTAACATTGTTAACACTTCTAGGGTAATGCTGATCCAACAAAAAACTTTTGATACCCACAACTCCTATATGAAAATTTCTGGAGGCAAAATTGCACCTTGATCCTAAAAACTATGATATTCTGATCAAAGGGTGAATTAATATACCTTTATCCTCGTAATATTCACTCAGGAGTACTGAGCAATGAAATTTTTTTAGGTACAAATTTGTTCCAAAAGAATAAAATCGTATCAATATTACTATTTATCATTAAAAATATTAATGGTCAATGTCGGTATTTTAATAATAATTTATAATATTATTATAATTTTAAACTTTCGAAACAAATTCACATCTTAACCATATATATATACAGATAGAGAGAGAGAGAGCAAAACATCTCATAAAATTTTGACTTGCAAATACTAAATTTTTTTTAGAAGTATTAGTATAAAATGCATTTGTATTTAACTTGTTATTTGAAACAAATGGATAAATTTTTGGAAGGAATTGATACCTGAAGGACAATAGTGCAGGATAACATGAAGACAGCAGCCATGAGGTAGAGAGAACCAATGATTTTGTCAGAGTCAAAGGTGGAATTGTGAGTATGTGGTGACTGAGAAGACTGTGTGTCCGTGGCTGTGGCTGCATGAGGCGTTACGCTTTGCATTATGCTCATTGTGAAAGCTCCGATCATGCACACCATTGTCCCTATAATCTTCACTTTACTATACGTACAACTTAGGTCCACTTTCTCTAACCTGCCACATCATCATCCAAAATTAATTAACTTCTTTTTTAACATTACGTACTTCTCTTCACACTGTGCACAATATTATCAGAGAAATCTGTCATATTACTTACGATTTATAAATAATTTAACTTTTTTTAAAGGGTTAAGTTGTAAATTTACCCCAAAAGTTTTTGCTTAAAAGTGCTGGTTATCCGAAAATCTTTTTGACTATAAATTTGCTCCAAAAGTTTAAAATTATAGTATTTTTGTCTCATATTTTTGAAAATATTAACCGTCAATATCACTATTTTAACGGTCAATGCAAGTTTTTTTAATGATAGAGGGACAAAAAGAAAAATTACCATGATTTTAAATTTTTAGGAAAAATTTGCACCAAAATTTTTTAAAAATAATGCCCAGCACTTTTAATGAAAACTTTCAAGATAAACTTGCACCTTAACCTTTTTTAAGTTAATTTTCCAACACAACTTGTATATTTATAGACACAAGAACGTATTTAAACTTCATTTTATGTTCGTATAAGATACATAAATTTCTAATTATGGTTAGATTATTTTTTCCAACCATAGATGATGTGGAAACATGCATATTTCTTTCTTCTCTTTCTTCATTTTTCTGGTGCCAAATGTAGGTATGTTTTTAATTGTCACGCTCTGTGAGCAAAACAGCGCGCTAATTAATTAAAGACAAAATAAAAGAAATAATTGATCCAAATATTCTTATATTCTATCTCAATTCTAAATCAAGTCCCTATAGTTTATTTTATTCAAACTGAGTACTTATTATTTGATCTGATAATTTTAATTTCTAGAATTTGTGAAATTTCATTTATAGAAATGCAAGGGTGTTAAAAGTTAAAACAGTGTTAAATAGAAGAGGAAAAGACACTAAAATACCATAAAAAATACGAAAGGATAAATTTAGGTGGTTGAATTTTAAAGTTCCAAATCATACTTTTTGTACTATTTTAAAATTTTAAAATTTTAAAATATTATAAAATGACAACCTTTTCCTTACTCCGATTGACTACTTTTATATAGTTTTTCTGTAATAAACTACTTTCATATAGCTATTGACTATTCTAGTTTCTCTATTAATTACTTTTGTTTTTTAAAGTTTTGATGACTACTTTTGTATAGACACTATTATACAAGAGTAGTAAACAACTGAACAAAAAATAGTCACTAGATCTTCAACAACACTTAATGCATTTTTTGGATTTTTGACACAAAAGTAGTCAATAGCAAAACTAGAGTAGTTAATAGCTAAACAAGAATAGTTATCAAATTTTTAAAAATAAAAGCAGTTAATCGCAATTCTAGAGTAGTTAGCAACTAAACAAGAGTAGTCATCAAAATTCTAAAAATAAATATAGTTAATAACTAAAAAAAATAGTTAATACATAAGAAAAATAGTCACTAGAACTCTAGCGACCAGTCACTGGAGTTTCAGTGACATGTCGCTAGAGTCACAACGACAGGCCACTAACAAGATTGCTAACACCAGAGCTCTGGCAGTCGAAAACCAACTAAGGGTATTGAGGTGGCAATATTTTTTTAAAAAAAAATAGTGAAAGGCATTTGCATAATTTTGCAAAATTTGAAAATTTCAAAATAGTACAATAGGTTTGAATTGGGATTTTGAAATTCACTTATACTAATTTATCCTTTAGTAACTTCTATAGTATTTTATTATTTTTTCCCTAAATAGAATGAAAGAAATCCCATAAAGTATATGAATGTTCATTTTATAAATTAAAATTAACAGGTTATTTTTACTTAAGGATAAATCTATATTAAACTATTAGGCTCTTCTGCTAAAAAAAAAAAACTATTAGGGTCTAATTTAAACAAAATAAACCACAAGGACATGATTGAAAATTGGTGTAACGTATAACGACCTCTAGATTAATTTTTTCAAAATAAAATTACTCTAGAAAACCTATTACTATTTATGTTATAGCAAGCTTGAATACATATCAATCGGTAATTAATATCAAATAATTTAATAATTTAATTAGGAAAAAAAAGGAAACTACATTTATATTCCTGTGATCCAAAGTTCCAAGAAATAGATGCGTGCAATTATTTTTTCACCTGTATTAAAATTCTAAAAGTTTTTGCATGCAAGTTAACTAGACCTTATTAAAATATCATTTTGACATATTAATTTAAAAGAGGAAAAAAAAAAGCATTTCATATATATTACCCAAAAGTCCATGCGATGATAAAGATAAGACCTGGGGCAAGGTTGGGCATGGCAGTTCCCATTGCTGGCGAAGTTAGATTGATTCCCCTCAGGAATAACGACTGGAACAAAGTTACCCTACACCCACCAATTCATATCAGAAATTAAGTACATAGATACTCATTGAAAATTCTAAACAATTAATCTTTATGTGGAAATTGAATTCATTTTGGTCTAACATAACATAATTAGTAGTAGTTATTAATTTACAATATTCAATCAACATCAAAGAACAAATGAATTTGATGCAGTGAAAGTCGCACAATTTTCAAACTAATGACATAATTATTTATTGATTTCATAGTTGTTATTGTAGGTGCCTTGTCATTTGAGGCGCTTTAAGGCCCTGTTTGGGGTGAGGCGGGCAATGGGGATTTGTCCAAGGATTGCTCATTCCGTAATCCTAAGATAATACGATGCCACTTTCATTACATCAACAGGTTATGGTGCGAATTTATCTTTTGAAGTTTTCACTTGTGAGTACTAAAGACTTTTTAGATACAAATTTATCCTAAAAAATTAAAATCATAGCAATATTACTCTTTATCATTGAAATAGTGATACTGATCCTTAATATTTTTAACAATAGTGAGCTATATTGTTATAATTTTAAATTTTTACGACAAATTTGCATCCAAAAAAACTTTTAAGTATCCCATGCTTGTGCATGAAAACTTTCAGAAAAAAATTTACACCTTAGTCCTAGATTGATTAGTACCACCACTCCCCGTAGTGGACTATCATTTGGAAATAATGGAGATGAGCTATAGTTGGGACTGCTACCTAGCTATGGTCTTATGAGCCCTGGCGACGGTCAACAACCACAGGGGGAGGTGGATCGACCAACAGCCAATGCCATGGGGGAGGAAGCCCCTGATCCGACGTGGTTGAAAATACACATTGAGAGGCTTTTTTATATAATAAAGGGAAGGAAACCCCAAAAGAGGGTCCGGCCAGGGAACACGAACTAAAGGCCTCAATCCACCCCCTTAGGCGGGAAGGTCGTAGGACGAGGGGAATAGATCTTCATGCACTGGCTTACCTGCTAGCTTCCTCTTTGCTTGACTAAAGAATGCATTCGCAGGACCAGTCTAATTAGACTTCGTTCCCCGGAAGACTAAGAGAAGGCTACGAAAGATAAGACCACAAGAAAAGAAGGCCAAAACCCAGATCTGCCAACTTCCTTGGATTCTCTTCTAAAACCCGCTGATTCCAAAACGATGGCAGGGACAAGGAGGAGGTGAAGATTTCATTGATTGCAGTGTTGCAAAAAGAGTAGGGTAGGGTGCAGACTCCAACAGACAAAGGCCGTTAAGGTGGCTGTGGCTAATGGAGATTTACTTCGTGGAATTTCTGTGGATTGCGTTGGGGGAAATCTACCAAAGCTAGGCAGATAGATAGACTCCTTTCCCGCTGCTAAGGGAGAGTAAGAAAAAAAAGAAAAATGATTGTCTTTTAATCAGCGCCCCCTTCGAGCTCATCAGTCTGGCATTTTGGGGTGGTATGGAATAAGTTGGATAGGAGGTAATATGCTCTATCCCTAAGCAGGAAGAGTTTGATGCAGTTAGATTCATTCTTTCTAGATCCAGCACCAACCGATCTATAAGCTTTGGCCGGGCCAACCATTGATCTATTCTGGAATTCATTAACATGGGAGCAAGAAGCTACCTCTATTTATCCACCAATAATCCTAAATCTAATAATCGGTTTATTTCTTTCTTGTTTGCTAATTTCAACCTGAAATTAACATGCGTATGTCTCCGATTATAAAGCGGGTAATTAAGCTAATAACAGTTAACTTGTTGCTAAAGAGAGAGATATAAGAAAGGGAAGGTTGTTCATCAATTCTTTAGATCAATAACACTGGGATTGAACATTTGAATTCAAAAACCCCTTTTGCCTCCATGAAACTTTCTTCATATAATCAATTAAAATGTCGATGGTTCATTTAATTTTTTTTTAAAAAAAAAAACACTTTCTCTTACCCTCCAAACGAAAGCACCAATAGCTGGATAACAAACTTGAGACTGAATTTTCTGGGCCATTTAGTCCTGCAACAACAGATACCCGCAACATCTCAGGAACTTTTATATGTATATAGAGAGAGAGAGAGAGATCATATAGGGAAAATGGAATATATAAGAGACCTTTCAAAGTAGAAGGAAAAGGGTAGAAGAACGAGGAAGGTGGCGAAGGAAGTGAAAATGACAAGGGTGAGAGGGGTGAGACCCAAAGCCATAAGAAAACTCATAAGCACAGCGTTGCCGGCATACACAAATTGCACTCCGATCAATCCTCCCATTATTATCACATCTTCTATCGCACTGCTCATTCCTCCTCCTCCACTTGACATCTCCATTCCAAAATTTTCCCTTTCTTTTTAATTTCTTCCAATCTCAAAGAGGGCTTCGTTTATATATATTAATAATAATGGGTCCTGCAATTTCTGGTCGAAAATGAATGAAGAAGCCAGAAAGTATAGCTGCTTCTACGCACGTGGCGGTTATTACTCGTCTTTCTTCCTTTTTCGTGTGGTTCCAATACAAAACTGACCTAACTTTCTTGGTGTTTCCTACCAGTCTTCTTCTTGTTCTTCGTTGAAAGGGAATTTCGTCAATTCGTTTGTTGTTTTTTCCAACTGAGATAGAGAGATATTAATGAATATGCCTGCCTACCAATTCTAAGATTTCTGTCTCTTTCTGAGTTTCCTGTGTTTCACTGTTAAAAATAGAGGAAATTTGTTAAGGATTTGCGTTGAAATGCTTCTTTTAATTAATTACCATATCTAAATCTAGATTTTGTCCTAAAATTACGCAATATATTTTTCTGATTCTTATTTATCTTTCATTCATGATTTAACTTAACTGGTGGCTAATGCAATTTTAACTTCTTTAATTTTTTTTTCTTCTGCTTCTTCAATTTTAATTAATTGACGTCTAGCTTGGATATTTTTAACACACGGGAAAATACAAGTTAAGAAAGAAAAGAAAATGCTTTTAACATTCTTGTTAATTTATTTATTTCGCTACAATTAATTATTTACTATTCGATTTTGTTGGTTCAAATTTAAACATTGTCGAATCTGAACAAAATAGTTCACGTAATATAGTTTTTTCTCCCAGCTAATTCTTGTCAATTAAACCTACATTCACAGTCATTTTGCTTCTAGAAAAATGGAGAGGAGAGAAAGAGGATATTTTAATGAATTTTATTTTTAAAAAGTAAGTGGACTGCATTTTTGCGCTCTCATTCTAGCATATATATGCAGAAACAGATAATAAGATACTGAAACTTTGAAATTGCTTTCCAGACAATTCCTGAGTGAAATTATACAATACAAGAGGGACATGACACTCATGCATCAACTCTTGCTTGCAGACATATGTGATGAAGGCAATAAGTACAGATGCATTAATTGTTTATTTGGGAGGCACAAAATGCTTATTCAAAAGCCTTTCCCGCAGAGTCAATGAAAGACGTGAAGGCAAACCAAGAGTTTGCCTGCGATGGATGTGGTGACTGTTCAAGAGTTGGTTCACTTTGCTGCAACAACAAGGAATATTCAGTTACCTAAGCGTCCAATCCAAAACATATATTACCAAATACCAACTACCAAATTTAAATCCAAAGTCGTCCATTGTTATGAACACAAGTCAAAAAAAGAGTCTAATTCCAAAAGACAAGCCCATCAAGAAAGAGAATCCTTGACTTATAAATCACACAATACTTGTGAGACTCTCCAAATTGAGTCTCATAACAACAGACCCCTTCCAAGAGCTTACATCCGCGATAGCTCCACACCACAGCTCTTTACCCAGCTTCTTGCAGGTCAAAATCCTCCATGAGCAACCCTCTCCATGAAAATCAGACTCAAAATAAAAGCATTTTTGAACTTGTTATGAACACAAGTCTAAAGAAAAAGTTTAATCCCAAAAAACTAGCCTAACCTATTAGGATACAGAGCCCCTTAACTTATAAATCATAAAACACTTGTAAGGATCCACGATATGGTACTCATGACATTCATATATTAAAATTCATTCAAAGTTGAGATGAATACCTCAGCATCTACGAGGTGTTCTCAGCCCACATTTACCAGGCAAGGCCAAGGCATTTTTGGGGTCGATTCCAGCTGCAGGCAATAGAGACTTGTAACTGCAAAGACAGGGCAGATTGGCCTGCTTAATGACTGCACAACATCTCCTAGAGGGCGGTGGTGGGTATCTCCCAGTAATTGCTGCACGGCACAAGTTCAGCCTAGATGTTTCCACGTTACATATCACAACAGCCTGGGCAACACACAACAAGGCAATGAGCAGAGCTGCCACCAGCCACTGGACCAAAGCTTTGCCACCAGTCTGAGCCATACTATCCTCAACCAGTTAGAACTCAAAAGTAGTGAATTGGCTAGGTCTAGTTCATAATGCTCTCTTGTATGAATGTTAACTTATAGAGTTCGTAGTCATGTGTTAGAAATATTTTGCATTAGTTTAGTATAGCATCAAAAGTTCTCTTTGTTTTAGGTGTGTCATGTGAAGCCAGACTGTATAGAGGTTCACGAGATAGGTTTACATGAAAATTAAAAGTAGGCATCATAAATTATAGTTATCAGCAAACAAACAAACAAAGCTTACAATGGCCCATCACTTGATAACAAACAAAAATGGATTATTTTGTTTGAGAATCAGCGGGCAAAACTTATTATTCTTTATGCCTTCCTGTCATGCATTGCTCTTTTGTTGTTCATGGAAAAAGATTGCTTACTCGATACTGGCCCGTGAGAGCATAGTATCGAATAAAGCGAGAAAGCTACTAACCACAGTCAAAACAAAAAAAAAAAAATCGAAATTAAATTATTAGCGGAATTCTTCGAAGTGAAATTATTAGAGGCCGGAAGAGGTGCGGCAGAGAGTACCATGAGAAAGCGGTCAACAACTCCTAGACATTGTGCTCAAACAAGACGTCACCCCGGCCGCAGCAACTGCGCCGTGAAATGGCAACATTGACCGCAGGAAGCCTAGTTCCGGCGCAGCGCTGCCGGCGAACAAAGTTAGAAATTCATACAGGATACATGCATTGTTAAATCTAAAGCAGAGAAAGAACCAAAATGAAAACGAAATTGAAACCCGGTAAAGAAGGATGGAAGAAGGGGAGTAAAGGTAGAATTACCGCAGGAGTAGCAGAAATGGTGACTGATCTGAAGGAAGGAAGAAGGGTTTCGAATGTTGGAATTAATAGCTAACCTGATAGACGGAATAGGTGTTCCCCTTGCCTTTTTCCTGCAAGCCGAAGCCACTGACGAATCGACGCCGAGCTAGTCATCCTCGAAAGTTACAGCCCAAGGCAACAACACCGAAGGTCCTCTCCCCACATAAAAGAAACAAACAAAAGCTTGTGGAGGTCCAGGATGGCTGGATGGGCCAAGTGCCTTATGATGGATTGGGCTTAACTTTCTCCATAGATAAGGAACAAAGTCTTAAAATATATGCAACAGAATTTTTTTTTGATACATAATATTAATAGAATTATTTTATTAAAGTAAATTAATATTGTTAAAACATAATTGAATTATTTGAAAAAATTAAAAAATTTAATAAATTACCTTAAAGTATTAATATTTATCATTTTTTAAACCAATCTGTCACTCTTATAAATTAGTATATAATCTAATAATATACGAAAGTATTTTAGAGAAATCATATAATATAAGTCATAGTTAAGTAATTTATTAAATTTTTTAATATTTTTAAATTAGTTAATTGGGTCTTATATTAAAGATAGGTGATAGTAACATTTTAGATCTATATTTAACTTACGGGTGTGAGTTAATTTAAGGAAATTCAAGCAAAACAAAAATATCAGCAAAAATAATAAGCTCGCTCCAGTAATTAGATCATGTATTTTTGCGGTTTTTATTTAGGGTTGATATTCTTTTTAATCTGTTTCGTTTTGATTTTAATTTCTTAAATTTAAAATAAGTAGTTTTGTTTTGTAAAAACTGACTTCATTTTGGTCCACCTAAAATTTTTTTGTTCTTGGAACATGTCACAAGATTGTTTCAGAGACCAGAATTGTTGATTTCAAATTTCAATTCATAAAACAAAACTAAAATAAGATCAAAATTTCATAAATTAAAAGTGACATTAATTATTTTATTTATGTCATTTTTCTCTACAGATAGTTCCTCTGATGCAATTCAACTACTACAGAAGAAAGTCTTTGACATGCACGAGGACTCGTCAAATAAGGAATTTGAGTTTTAAATGTAACTCTTAATTTACTACTATCTCCAATCCTAAATATTGACTAATTTAAATAAATTAAGAAAATAAGATAAGTTAATTATTTATAATAAATAAATATTATCTTTGTTAAAATATTTTTATTAATCAAGTGTATTGGCCAGAACTATTATTATTAGAAGAATACTTTGAGAAAAAATAAATAAATATGAGAGATAAAATAGATTAGAATCGTATATTTAAAATCAAAATAAAAATCAAATAAAGTCTTATATTAAACATTGGAGGAGGTAGTATTGATGTTCCTATTTGCAACTGTCAGAACTGATATTTGCAATTAATTCATTTAAACAAAATTTTCAGAGATCTAACCATTATTAATTCAACATTTTGGAACTTAAATGCCATTCTTCCCTTTGTATATTTTTGCAGATGAGAAGATAAACTCACTAGTTTGAGTAGTTTCCATTTTGTAGCATTGTGTTTCTACACACAAGTTTGGCAAGAGAGAAGCCTAACCCGCTTACGGCTTGGACCACATTGTTGTCTTTATCCTGCGATCTCATTTATTTATATTGTATACGCTTCTGCTACTTAATATATTAGCTAATTTAAAAATTAATATTATTTTTATATATAAGACCTATTTCACATCTTTATCAATTTGTTTTAAATTAACCTATTGATATTCTTTTAATAATAATCAAATAGGAGAGGGAGGGAGAAAACATATCATATTAACTAATTTAACTAACATCATTAATCTATTTAAATTAATTAATTAGGTCTTATATTAAGAATCAGAAGATTATCAAATAACAAGTTACTAATTGAGTTAGGTCTAATAGAAGGGGTTAGTTCCTCACAATATGATGAATCAATATTCGAATGCTTATTAAGAGAGGTGTCCATATTTAGTGTCCAACAATACCTTAGATAAATTTATCTCTATTGGGAGAATTTCTATGTGTAATAAAAAAAACGAGTTAAATATGAAAATTATAATTTTTATCATTTTACAAAATATTTAAAATTTTTTATAATTTAATTTTCTATTAAAAATATTAAAAAATATTTATTTCAGAAAGGGAGAATTGCAAGTCTTAATAAAAGAATTTAGTTACCTTAAAGTCCATTGAGAACTGAAAAAACATGTAATAATAAGTTTTAGAATAAGAAATAACAACATGTTCATTATGACCACTTGTCATTAGATTTTTTGGTGATTAAATTGTTTTAGGACCTCCTAGTAATTCTCACTTTTAAAAAAAGCATGCCAAGCAGCTTGTAATAATTAAGAAATTTCCCCACAAACAGTATAAATATTAGAGGGAAAACTGAAAAGGCGATAAAAATAAACGATTCCGTTAAAATATCATTGGCAGACTCTTTTTTTGGGCCAAAAATCAATAGCAGACTTATCGGCATTCAATATAGTTGTTGAAAGATAAATATTAATTAATATCAATTTAATTTCAGGGGTTAGAATTATATATTGAAAGATAAATATTAATTAATATCAATTTAATTCTTGACTTATGATTAACTTTATGTATTAAAACCTTTCATAAATTCATATGACTGTTTTGTAAGAAAATGACATGAAAAAAATTGGGCGATATTTATTACATTTCAGTCTTCTACAGAAACAAACAACGTTGTGAGGACAAACACGCTAATTGACCAAATCCAATTCCAAAAAGGACTCTTATTTTTGTTTTTCAAGCAAATATTTTTATTGTCCCCCAAACAAAGGGAAAGATTTCGCAGGCCATAAATTAAAATTAAACTAACTAATCAAACATAAATGGGAACTGACTTCACAATTTAAGTGATTTGGTTAACTAGCTCATCATCACTGCTGCTATAGTTATCAGTTATATCACTATCCCACGCATACTCTTGAAAGGCCTATTGTCTATTTGGTTTTAATTTATAGCTTATCGTTTATTTGCTCAAAATGACTTTCTCAGGTTAATTAAAAAATTTACTTTAATTCTAAGTATAATTTATATTTTTTTTTGCCAAATCATCTATTTATTACATATATTCAATACAAATTATTAAAAAGATATTTTAGAAAAACTAATACTGATATTTTGTTGATAACTAATTTAATCATTCTTAATCTCAATACATTAATTATTTTCTAAAGTAGTAAGTTTGTCTAACAGGTTGATTAAAAAGTAAGTACTACCTTCTGTTCTTAATATAATAACTGGTTGGAATTGGATTTAGTCATAGGTATAAAATCTTAATTCAATTTGTCTCTTGAATTTATAATTTTTCTTTTGAATACTCATGTTGACTATAAAAGTCTCACCAAGAAGTAATTCTATCGTACACACAGAGTAACCTTGGCTTTAACATCATCTTCCCAATTTATAATTTTTCTTATAAATATTCTTATTGATTGTAAATATTTCCGTCAAGAAGTAATTCTATAATACATGATTGAAAACCAAATTAATTAATTTTCTAATTATTCTAAATTAGTTATTTAACTCTTACGTTAAATATTAATGGTTTCTGACATCATCTTCCATTACATTAGGTTAGAGATATTCTTCCTTAACATCATTATCTCTCTATTTCTCTCTTAACATTTGAATAACAACAACAATCCCTTAGCGTAACTCAACCTTCTTAATTTCTATATCCTTCCATTGTGCGTGAATCATTGTTCTAATTCACTTCAGCTTTACAAATATCAACCAAAGAATGAAAAATACACATGCCTACCTGTATATCGACCTCAACAAAAATACAAAAGAATTTTTCAAGTCCATGAAAATAACATGAACAATGCCAAAGCCAGAAGCAGGGGCCACTGAGCCAAATCACCGTCAATACGAACAGCGAAGTTGGAAGAATTTTCCGATTCCAACAAAGAACTAAACGTGAAGTTTGGGTTTGACCCATACAACGCTTGAATTCCCAACACGTCATCCATCTTCAACTCTCTCTTTCTCGTTCTCGGACTCAAGCTCGGGTACATCACTGCTTCTTTATCACTCGTGTGGGCCAGCCCCAGCACGTGACCTATCTCGTGCGTAGCCACTGACTCCAAGTCAACCGCCACTCTTGACCCTTCTTGATCGAAATCAACGGCCCATGTTTCAGCTGCGTCCAGATGGAATCTCCCGTTCTGTGGTGAAAACGCATGGCCTAATACCCCTAACACTCCGTCGAACGGCTCTCCGTCACCGTGGTCCCCGAAGTAAAACCCGATCCGGATATCCGCCGCTTCTAATTCTGAAGTCTCCAGAAAGTTCACCGGAATCACTGAGGCCCACCGTGAGAACGCGTTCTCGAACGCCGTTCGGATTTCCGGCATGCTTAAACGGGTGATCATGGCGTCTGGGGAGAAAGCATAGGTGAGATTCATCGGAGAGTCGCGAACCCATCTTGGCTTGCCGTCGAAGTAAGCGAAGTGACGAGTGGAGTGTAGGGTACGCGAGGAGGAGTCGCTGACGCCGCATCTCGGCGCCATGATTGTGGAGATCGTGTCGGAGTCGAGCTTTCCGGAGACGGATAATCCGAGTTTCTTCTGGTAAAGCGTGACGGCGGACTCGAATTCGGAGTCGAACTCATCCGTGAAGTTAAATGGCGTCGTTTTAGAGAGGTACCCGAAGTGATTAAAGTACTTCTTCAGCTCCGACATGCCGCTGACCTGGCTTCCTCTCTCGGCGTGGAGGAATCTCGAGAAGTCCCGCCACGTGGCGTCGTTGTGGGTATGATTGGTCGTTACAGTCACCATTTCGGGCGTCATTCTGGCGGGAAAACAAGGGCGGGAAAAGAAGAGGAGGAAGAAGAAGAAGATGAACCAGAGACAATCATAACGGAAAAACGGAAACATAACCGCCTTCCAATCAGTAGTTGTGTCGGGATTTGGGCGCTGATCAATAACGAAAACGCAGAGCTCTCTCTATTTCGGAGCCTCCAAACTTATTAAAATCTCATATATAAAATTGGAGCACCACAAGGTAGATTATCATATATATATATATATATCATGACGACGTCAACTATAATATATATACATATACATATGAATTTATTAAATAATTAAGGTTATTGAACGAAACTTGTTGACATCGAAGAACAAAGAAGTTAGGATGAGATTAACGAGGAAGAAGATGGGGTTTTATTGAAGTGGAGCTACGGGTGGGTCAACCACTGGGTCTGTTTGCATCATCGTATACGTTCGATGATTTAAATTTTTTTTAGGTTCCCAAACGTAACGGATTTGTGGATGTGGTTGGTATATTGTTCGAAGATGACTGGGATTTCCTAAACGGAAGCTGCCCAGAAAAAGGGAATAATAATAATATTATTATTGGGCCTTCGAAGTTTCAACGTACGTCGTCGAACTCCATACGATCGTTCGAGTTTAGGTGTTGAAAACTCCGTTGGTTGACCAAATTTTGGTGGTGATCAACGATCAACTTTCAACTGTATTAACTTGTTATATAACAGTATTGCAGTAAAAAAAATTTTAAAAATAATTATAATGAGATCTAAAAAAAATAATTACAAAATAAGTTCCAGAGATTGTCATTTCTTATTCTAAAATTGTAATTACAAGCTGTTTAAATTGTTATTGGGGCTATTTAATAATTATTTTTTTATTAGAATTTCATTGCAATTCTCCTTAATTATATTCCCTCATACCCTAAATACAAAAGGGTTATTTATAATTTTAATTTTTCTCTGAACATTATCCCACATAATAAGGAGATTCTAATCAAGAGATATAATTCCAATGCAAATGATAATTAAATAGGGCACTTTAAAGAATCAATATATTTTTTTTATAAATAACTAACTTAACTAATTTTTTAATATTTTTAAATTAATTGTTTAGCTTTTATATAAAAAATAAGAAGGAGCATAACAACATGAACCGGACATACATATGCATTAGCTATATACATATGACAGATTTCTGTTATTGAAAAAATTATAAGCAAATAACTTCCATGCGTATATCTTCTAGACTGATTGAATTTATGTTTAATTTATAGCAGTATGTGAGAATTAATCACTGCACCTTAGATTTTATAAGTATTTCTTATCATTGACATATATATAATTGAAATAATTGGTTACGTATATTTTTTGTTGAATGGGGTTTTGAATTTAGTGGTAGGTTAACTTGGAGGACGGCTATAAATTCGCTAGAAGATTAATAAGACATGATTTAGTAATTTGCTTTCCCTTCTCAATTATTTCTAAAACGTGGAGGGATGATAAGGTCAATTCAAGGTCTTCGCTTTCAATACGCCATTAAGGTTTAGGGTCGTCTTTCTATGAATAATATATACAAAGCTCTCATTGTCATCTCTAATCAAGGGGCCCTCTCTTTATCTCACTTTTGATTTGATTTTTTTTTTGGGAAAAAAATTGCAATCATATATTAATATATCAATGATAATATTAATGCTTTTGTGTGACGTACGAAAAACCAGAAACATAAAAATAAATAAAAGTGCATAATAATAAGAGGAGAGAACGAAGAAGAAGCGATTAATATTGGTGGGCTTGTTCTTCAGTTTTCTGATCAACAAATTGACTCCAGGGGTAACTTTTGACCAAGCTCTTACCTATCCGTCAAATTAATATAAATATAAACGAAGACTTTATTATTAACTTTCTACTTTACACAGATTTTTTTTATTTATTCCAATAATTGGTTCTGTATATCCTAATTGGAGAATTTCAGAACCATGCCATACATAATGAAACTAACAAGTTGGCCCTTTTTGACCAAAAATACTAACAAATGGCCTTCGCATTATATAAAAGTAAAAAATTCCACAACTTTTTTGAATTTTTTATTGTAAAATATACATAATTATTATTTACTTTTTCCAACTCGGTATAATTTTCTTAAATAAAAAAACAAGATTCTCCTGTAACGACTCGAAACGGAGGCCAATTGAATAAAAAGTTACGTTATAAATAAGTTCAATTTTAAATGGTTATATTCAAATACCTTTTATTGAAAAATTGATATTTTTTTATTTAATCTTATTTATTTTTTTAAAAAATAAATTAAGGTAATATATTAAAATTATTTTTACAACATTTATGAATGACTATATGTAATTTTGTGAACATAAATGACAAGACAGTTGAAAAGTTGCTAACTTGTTTAGGTTTTCATGGACTTTTTAGGATTTCTGTATTGAAAAATAGAGACGTGTTTTAGCTAAATAAGGATGATATCAGCATGTATGTATAGCTAAAAGAAATATAGCCTCGGTTAATAAAAAGAATTTGACTATAAATAAATAAATCAGTATTTAATGAACGCTGTAACAACAACAACAATAATCATAAAAATCAAGGGTTTATATTTTTTATATATGCTCCCCGGCCAAGACCTCAAACAAAGAATAAATTATCTCATTGATAAACTTTGAAAAGGACATCGCAAAATAATAGATCATGCCTTGCTTAATGAAAATGCACCTATTATTTTTCTTTGGTGATAAATGGACTTTTTATTAATGAAATAGAACAATTTCGATGTTTCTTACAAGAATAGGAAACTGCTTGCGATGTTGTTGTGTGCAGAGGGAAATTAAGGACCCCCCTTGATGAAAGACTATGGAAAATCATATAAAGAGTAGGTAGATAATAGAGTATGCTAAGTACTACCTCCGGTCCTTAATATAAGACCCTGTTTGACTTTTATTTTGATCCTAAATATAAGACCCCAATCCACTTTGTCTCTCATATTTACTCATTTTTTTCAAGATAGTTCTTCTAATAATTATAGTTCTAGTTAATACACCTGATTAGTAAGGATATTTTAGGAAAGACAACACCTATTTAGGACAAATAACTAACTCAACTTACTTCCTTAATTTCTTCAAATTAGTCAATTGGCTCTTATAATTAGGACCGGAGGTAGTATTTTATTTATCAGCATCTATCTATGGGTGTGTTCTGAAAAAAGGATCTAAGTTAATACTACTCCAATCCTTATTATAAGTTGCTTGTAAGAAAATTTTTTGGTCATAAACATAAGTCGTTTGTAAAGTATTTAATGATTAGTTTTTAATTTTATCCTTTTTTTTTGTTTTTACTGAAAAGAGGGGAAAAGAAGAGAGAATGCCGACGAGAACGATTTGTAAATGCAGAGAGAGAAACTTTGATAAAGATAAATTTAGACAATTTTATCACTTTAATGCATTTTTTTGTATGTGAAACTATGTTAGACTGATAATAAAAACTGTAACGGTATAGAGTTAACATCAATGGAACGTGTTTAATTAGCAAACCAACTGAACAATTAATTATTTATCTTGTGATGAATGTGGTTAAAAGGGACATTCTAGTTCTTTGCTAGAAGTTGTCTAATTATGAGCCACGTTGTGTCTGAATATTAATTTAACTACCTCCATAGGGTAACTGGCAATCACAAACTTTTGGATTCAATTGTCCCTAAAAACTCTAAAGCCTTCAAGAATTATACATCTTAGCAATATAATAGTTCTATTATCCAAGTTTCTCCGTGAAACTTTAGATGTAACTATTTTGTGAATCCTAATATTAAATCATCCAAAAAAAAAATTATCCGAGTTTCACCAATTCAAAGATAAAAAGAGCTAGAAAAAACAAACCAATCACCTAAAAATGAGCTAATTAATCTTTTACATCCTGCAAGTTCGTAGGGCAGTTGAATCTGCCTACCTCCAAATGGATTGAACTTTTATAGCTCAACCTCCATTAGCTAGCCAACCCTTTTTTCAATTTTCAAATATACTTTTTATTTTTTATCATATCTTGAATTGAAACTTTTAATTAGATCCCAGATGTTTTCATGATGAAGTTAACTTCAAATTTTTGCAAATATTTTACATAATTGTTTAAATTGTATGAAAAGGATAGATTGGTTTTTTTTAAAAAAAAACAGACGTTAAGTATGAAACAAAAGGTTTTATACCTTACATTCTAGTCATATTGTTCGAATAAGAAGTAAATAAAAAGGGGCTAAGCGAGCCATATCAATTAGGCTCGAAATGAGTTGAAAATTTCCAATCCAAAACCACTAAGCTTGTCAGCTAGTTTTGTTGGAGCTAACCATTTTTTCTAGCTCTGATGACGAAGTCTTTGTGAGGGCCATAGAATGTGGTTCCTAATGTATAGATATGGCATCGGTATCAATATTTGGTATAGAGTGAAATGAGGAAGCTCTATTTTTGTTAATTTTTATGTAAGTGTTAAGATGATAAAATTAGATACTATTGTACCAATTTGTTCAAGTGGTTTAACAGATACTTCCTCATAAAAAAAAAAAAAAGAATCCCAAGTTTAGGTTTCATGTTTGAACAAATGGAATCTTTTACAGTGAGCTTTCTTGGGATTCAGATTAATTTGATGATTGATTATTTCAAGAGATTTTTTTTTATTTATTTCTCTTGAGTGGGACTTTAATGTGATGTATGCATTGTTATTACTTGTCATGATGGTTGTTAATTATTACATTTTCAATTGTTAATGACTATTTTTTCAGTTGTCAATACATACTTAAAAAAATAAAATGGCAATTTAATAATTGAATAAATGGAATCTCTTACAATGAGTCTCTTGGTACTTCAAATTAATTTGATAATTTTAAAGGATTTTTGTTGTATTTATTTCTCTTTGGTGGGGCCTTTATGCAATTTTCTCATATTCTGTTCAGTGATTTTCTCTTCTTCTTCCTCTTTTTTTTTTTGGCTGCAAAAAATGCTTTCCCCATATTTTATCTTTCTTTGGGCCAAAGAAAATCTATTTCCATAGAAAGGTAAGATGGCCCAATTCAGTGCAGCATCATCAAAACCCAAATTTTCGTCTTACTTTGCTTCTTTCAAGCATGAGTCATGACCAAAAGAAGTTTTCAAGCAAAAAAGTGGCTGCTTCATATTGAATATTATTAGAAATATTCACGTTTAATTCATTGTGTATCTAAATTCTTTCATTAACATACATGAGCATTCGCTAATTTTGACATCTAATAACAGTTAGTAGTTAAATTAATAATTCATAGCTATTATAAGTTTTATAATTCCTAACTAGGAATTTGTTAAAAGTATAGGTCTCAATTTGGATATAGTTATTTTAATTGAATTTAATTGGAATTCTCCTTTTAT